CCTCTCCTCTCCCCTCTCCTCCCCCCTTCCATCCCCTCTCCTCTCCCTCTCCTTCTCCTTCTCCTCCCTTGCCTTCCTTTCACTTCTTCTCCCTTTTTAAAACTTTACTTTATTATTTTGACATGCATGTATAAAGCCCTCCAACTCCCACAATCTGTCTGTAAGGCAGCAGCCATTGAACGCAGTTTGAGAAAAAGCTAGACCTTCTTTTCTGCTTCCATTTTTCTAGGCAACCCACAAGAAGATACCCAGTGCGGAGTTTGTACCGAGGGGACCTTTTCCAGCAACTATTCCAGCAAAGATCCCTGCCAGCCCCACCAGAACTGCTCCGTGCAAGGCCTTCAGGTCAACGTGCCTGGCACCCGGTTCCATGATACCCTCTGCACCTCCTGCAGGGCTGGGAAAGGCTTGGAGGAGGGCTCAGGTAAGACCCCTCTCACCTGAGACTACAGGTAGTCCTCAACATGAGGCAAAACTAGAACTCACAGTCTCCTGGTGATTGGCCCAAAGTCACTCAGCTGGCTTTCATACCTAAGGCGGGACTAGAACTCACCGTCTCCTAATGATTGGCCCAAAGTCACCCAGTTGGTTTTCATGCCTAAGGCAGGACTAGAACTCACCGTCTCCTGGTGATTGTCCCAAAGTCACCCAGCCGGCTTTCGTGCCTAAGGCAGGACTAGAACTCACTGCCACTTTCTAGGCTGGTGCTTTAACCATTAGACCAAGCCCAGCATCTCTTATCTGATGTATTCCTCACCCGTTCTTTCTCTTCTAGGTACTGGGGACTGTTACGAGGCCGCCCTTGACTTTGTAGCGTTCCAACTCAAGTCCCCACGAAGGCTCCGGCGTCTGTATCGTAAGCTCACTCAAGCTCCTCCCGGGACCGAGAAGAAGAAGGCCACCGAAGAGCTCCAGGTGGACCTTCACACCTACCTGCTCCAGCTCAAGAACTTGCATGGGAAAGAGCGAGCGTGGGAGATGGTCCAGGAAGCCCTGGAGAAGATGAAGTTGATACACATTCTGGAGAGCGTCCAGAGGAGATTCTCCGTGGGTTTATGAGACAACTTGAAACGGGATTTGTTATCGTCGTACGATAGGTCTAAAATTGTTGGTCATGCCTGTGCGGACTTGGATCATTGAGTTAAATTATTTATACAAAAGCTAGCTTTTTTTAAAAAAAAAGAAAAATCAGATTTCCCAGCCTCTATTAGACAATTGATTTGGGCAGTGGTGGGATTCAAATAGGTGAACAACCAGTTCTCTGCGTGGATGCCGCTTCCGGAAGTCCGTTCTGGGCCTGGGCGACAAAAAAAATTAGCTACCGGTTCTGCCGAAGCGGTGCGAACCGGTTGAATCCCACCACTGGATGGATGGATGGATGGATGGATGGATGGATGGATGGATGGATGGATGGATAGATAGATAGATAGATAGATAGATAGATAGATAGATAGATAGATAGATAGATAGATAGATAGATAGATAGATAGATAGATGATAGATAGATAGATATGATCGGTGGTGGGATTCAAATATGTGAACATCCGGTTCTCTGCATGGATGCCGCTTCCGGAAGTCCGTTCTGGGCCTGGGCGACAAAAAAAAATTAGCTACCGGTTCTGCCGAACTGGTGCGAACCAGCTGAATCCCACCACAGGATTTGGGGGCGAGGGAAAAGTGCTGTGTGGAAAGGAACGGGGGCCGGTTCTTCCTCCTTCTCTAATGCAGTCTACCCAACACTGCGCAGACTGTGTTAGGGAAACAGAACAGACACACACACCCTCCATCCTTGGACCACGCAGCCGTGTCCCAGAAGGAGCCGCCATTTTGGAGTGACCGCAAGTTCCTTACAGCTGCTCAGAAAATGGCGTTTCCTTCTGGGAAGCAACCCAGAACTCTGTCCTAACTTCGAATCAGCACTAAGTGACCGGTCGTAAGTGGAGGACTACGTCTCTGCAAATGTGTATTTTGGTGAAGTGCTGCCAATGTTTTGACCCTGTAGAGCAGGGGTCTTCAAACCTGGCCCTTTGAGGACTTGTGGACTTCGACTCCCAGAATTCCTCAGCCAGCGTTGCTGGCTGAGGAATTCTGGGAGTTGAAGTCCACAAGTCCTCAAAGGGCCACGTTTGAAGACCCCTGCTGTAGATGATCAAGTTGGAGGTCCTCAGAGGTTTGGGAAGAGGCCAGATCCTGTTGGGTCAACATGCTAGCCTGTCCCTCCCTTCGGAGGCCATTATTATAGCCCTATATCTAGGGATTATAGTTTGGAGCGACTGTATGTTGTTTTTAGGAATTATTGAAGTATTTTAGGAATTAAGTTTGTTCTTCCAGAATGTGAATTTCTCAGGGGTGGCCTGTCCTCATTAGGGGATCACCTCAAGAGCCAAGGACAAGTAGTCCCTGACTCACGACTATCTGCTTAGCAACTCTTCAAAGACACAACAGCACTGAAAACAGTGATTGACAACCAGTGGTGGGATTCAAATATGTGAACAACCGGTTCTCTGCGTGGATACTGCTTCCGGAAGTCCATTCTGGGCCTGGGCAGCAAAAAATTAGCTACCGGTTCTGCCGAAGTGGTGCGAACCGGCTGAATCCCATCACTGTATCTATCTATCTATCTATCTATCTGTCTATCTGTCTGTCTGTCTATTATCTACCTACCTACCTACCTACCTACCTATCTCTGTTTGTCTATCTATCTGTGTCTACCTATCTACCTACCCATCCACCCACCTACCTACCTACCC